GTGTGGTGGTACACGTCTGTACTCCCAACACTCAGGAGACTAAAAACAGTAGGATTACTATGAGTTCAAGCTGTATAGTGAGACCCTGTACCAAATACATAAAGTAAAAAATAAATTAATTAAATTAATTTTTTTATTTTTTCATAATTTTATTGAGAAACAAATAGCAATGAGACAGTTTCAAAACCAATTAGTAGTACAGTTTCAATAATTAATACATTGCATATTGTTGTCTTAGTGGTTATTCATTGTACAAGATACAGATATGATATCCTGTGCACAAACACTATTATAACAAATCTTTCTATTCATTGAATTAAGAGAAAGTAGCTGTATATCTATCCTAACTATTTTGAATATACAGATACAAAATGGTTGTTCATTTGCATCCCCTTTTTTGTTTAGTTTTGCTAGGGAAGGGTATTGCATTGTCATGTAAGTACTATAGGTATGTGAATTCAGCAAAATATTCCAATATAGTCCAGTAGTCTATAATAGTAGTGGGTTTTCCATAAGAGTGGCAATGTCAGAAGTTGTTGACTTGAGAGTTTTACAGCTCAGCATATTAATATGACTTTACTTTTTATACTACATTTTTATACTTTTCTGCTGCATGGCTAAGACTAAGATAAAACAAGACATATATAACAGGAAATGTAACTTTTGTATCTCCCAAGGTCAGTCAAATCCCCTCAGGATTTGCCCTGTAACCCTGTACCGCAGTTTGTAGATCCTTTGTCAGTGTCAGCTATGTGGATGAGTCACGGCCATTGCTTGGTCAGTTTATTCTCTGTGAAAGACTGACAGAATGTTTTCTCTCCATGTGACTCTCCTTAGGCACAGTCTACTTCATTAATCACTTTCCTCTGTAGCTTCATAATCTACTTGATCAGAAAACTTAGGACACAACTGAGTTTCATGATGTTACAGGACAGGTTCTCCTATGTCCTGAGTCTTCACTGACCTTGAAAGGCTAGGGCCAAAATGTTGGCTATCCTTGTATTCCTTACTTATTCTACTTAGCCATCTTCCCGACCCCCTTTAAATTAAAAAAAAAAAAACATAAGAAAACCATAACCTCTCATCTCTGACTGACTTCCAGGCTCTATGCAAGCAGAAAGCAATAGGAAAGTAGATTTGCCAAATGCCTTACCTGAGTACTGGATGCCTATTGATTCTAAGAGCCTAAGCAAATCTCTGTCCAGTCACTAGCCAAGCAATAAACTCACAGCTAACACAGTAGTGATTTCCTTGGTACAGAAGACAGGTTATAATTATCACAAAATTCTCAGAAAAGTCACCACACAAGCAACAATAACAGAGAGCAACAACTCCCAGTCCTGAGTAAGACTGTGAATCTGATTTTCAGAGGTGCTGCATTGTTTTAGTAAGATTTACAGTTTTAAATAAAGAAAAAATAGCAGGCAAATAAATAAGAAATTCTAGCCAAAGTGGAGAGCAGGCTGTACCTTGCTGTAAATTACTTCCTGCTGAGTAGAATGGTGGCTTGCAGGCGATGCTCTTCCCTGAGAGACTCTGTTCCACACTTGCCCTCAACCCAAAGGCCAAGCGTCAATGGGACTCCGTTTCACAAAGAACATCTTTTCCATTTAGAGTTCAAATGCAGGAGCAGAATGACTTAGTATTGATCTGTACAATAGAGAATCCCAGGCTCTGAATTCACCAAACCTATCGATAAAGTGACTCTCAGCTGTGGGGCACAATCATAATACAAAAACTAATAAATAAGTTCATCTTGCTAATAAAAGAATTGGCACCTGTAAACTTATCAGATTAAGGAAGGGAGACCTAGACATACAGATTATGTAAATTACACTAAAAACAATGGAGTCACACTCCTCCACAGCTACTTCCTCCTAATTCAATGAGAAGAAAGATTTATACTAATAGTATTTGTGGACAGGATATCATGTCTGCATCTTGTACTATGAATAGTCACTATGAAGACAACAAGATGCAATGTATTAAGTATTGAACCTGTCCTAATCAGTTTTGAAACTGTCTTGTTGCTATATGTTTCTCAATAAAATTAATAAATTAAATGAATAAATCCTGCAGCGGTAAACCCTTTCTTACCCACTCTGTAACCCATTATGTGTTGTGTGAGTGTGATGTGTGACATGAGTGGTTTAGATATAACTCAGAAGATTGGAATAAGGAATCTATCATTGTCCAACTCTTTGGCTCTCAATCATCCCTGAGTACTTGGACTGATTCGGCTGACACAATTGATGTATCTCATTAATGTACTGTTATTCAATATACTCTGACATTGTTGATGTGTCTGATCTATGTTACTGGCATAGTTTGCTCATGATAGGGGGGAAAAAGTCAATAAAAATCTTTTCTGGGGCATTCTAAACTCTGGACTTTGCATTTCATACATAAGACTTTAAATTATAAACACATTCAAAGGATTAATGGAAACTATACCTAAAAAATTAAAGAAAAGTAGCTAGGTATGCTGATATTTACTTATAATCACAGCACCTAAGGGGTTGAGGCAGGAGGATAGCAAGTTTGAGGCCAATGGGTGCTACAGAGTCAGTTCAAGGCCAGCCTGATCTATATAGGAACATCTTATCTGAAAATTACATACAACAAACAAACTAAACAAAAAAAAATTGAAAAGCATGAGGATGATGTGATAAATTAAAGGAGATGAATAAAGAAATATAAATCTTAATGACCTTGGATTAATAATACTTTTATATAATGTCAGAAATATTTCCAAGAGCTGGCCAAATAGCTCAGTGGATTAAAGCACCTGCAAATAGGTACAAGGGCCAGGGGTTCAATCCCTGGGCCTGCCATGCTGACCCAGCCCCCAGGGTACTCTGAGATGGCAATTGAGACTGGGTGTGATGGTGTATGCCTATAATCCCAGCCCTTGGGAGGCTGTAAACAGGGGGATCACTATCATTCCGATCTAGTAGTAAGACTTTGATCACCCTGTAGAACTTTCCCTAAAATACAAAAAATAAAATAAAAAATAAATATTTCCAACAAATTAGCAAATTGAACAGCAGAGGGATTCTTTGAGACAGATGGAAAAGTTAAAGGTATTCTGAATTTCAAGCCTGAAGAATTAGGACTATTGTATTACCCAGTAAAGGAAGGAGCAGAAAGACAAGAATTGATTCAGGAAGATGATTCAGAGTTGACTAATACTTAATACTTTGAATTTAATTCATTTTTTTCTCCATTTCTTAGTGATTAGAAAATTCACTATTGGAGTAAATGAAAAGGAGAGGTAAAAAGGTGCTCATGTAATTCAGTTTGCTATTTGTTAATGACTCCAATAAAACACTGGAATGTCAGAGAAATACTAGCTCCTGTAATAGACAAATACCAAAGATTGGTCTCTTCCATGAAATGATTATGCCATCTATTACAGGTGACTTCCAAGACACTCCATCATTTTCCTGACATAAGGGGAAAGGTGTGGAATTGAGCAGAAGATGGTAAACAGGCCTGGCTTCTGTCCATACTTCATTCACAAGAATTCACTCCTAATGTCCCAGGCAATTCCAGACATGGATGGAGGATGTTAATTTAGCTCAATCTTTATCACAACGAGGCAAGTGAATAAAGTAGCTGTGAATTCAGAATTATTGTCATCTAAAACCAAAAATAACTACAGCAAGAAAATTACATTACATAAAATGTAACAATCTGGATTTAATTAATATGAAAATTAACTTGTGTTGCAATCTTTCAAAATTAGCTTAAGCAAAATATGCATAACTTTTATAAACTTTCTTTCATAGATTTTCCTCAAACAAGAATAAAAGAAGTTGCAAAAGTAGTTTTAGTTCTAATTTATAAAGCGTTCAACTCTAGAAGTAATAACAATAGCAAAACAGAATGTTTCCTTAAAATTTATCAGTGAAATTTTGTTTCATTTTTTCCCTAAGGAGAGAATACATATGGTCCTATTTATACTATATGGATTTAATTATGAATAGAAAAAACTTTTCCAACTATGACAAAAGAAATTCTGCAGTAGAGAAAGATCAACTATTAGTGCATAAAAATCATTTCTTAAGCTCTTTGCTAAATTATAATTATTTACACAATCTTTCATCTATAGCATGTCTGTCTATGTTAAATATTTCCCCTGTGCTGTAGAGCTTTTAAGTTATTGCTTGAGGCCTTAATTTAAAAAAAGAGATAAATTCATTATTCTAGACATAAAGGCAATGCATTTATTATAGGATCATAGGGCTGTGTGTTTTCCACTTTATTTTACAAACATAAGGCACACACACACACACACACACACACACACACACACACCCCTCTTTTATGCAGGAATAAGCCTGGATGCATCATGACTCCTTGTGATATCACAGAAATTTTTCTATGGATCAAGTTGCTTTCCTTGAAAACTTAAAAAAGGAAATTCAGAGTCTCACGCTGTGTTTGTTCCGGATTCCACACGCTCCTGCTACTGAATCAGTGTTTCCCTGCAGTCAGTATCACTGGGTCATGATTGCAGTCTCACAGACTTCCACTGCTCTGAGATTGGTTAGAAGGAAGCGGAGGAGGAGCCATTCTAAGCACTTTTATTTTTTTCTCCTCCACGTACCCTAGAAATCAGCAGCCGGCATCCTTAGCTCTTCACACTCAAAGCACTGCTTAGGCTGAGAGCTGCCGCTTCTGAGAAGCAACCGTGGGACCATGTGCGCACGGACTTGGCTCCCAGTGGCGCAGAAGCTCCCGGGAAAATTATTTTGAGAAACATGAATGCACACGGCTAAAGTCAAAGCAGCAGTGAGAAGGAAAAGCAAAGAGCAGGCTGTTCTGCTGAGAAAAAGCATTTTCAAGCCTAAGAAGTTTAGTGACCAGAGCCATACCTAAAAGAGACTAAAACTCGATTTCCAGGTCTGACGCTGCGGCTCTACTCAGAGCAGGAATGCCAACTACAGCTTCATAACTTTCAGTCTGATAAAGACTGGGAGGAAATAACAGAGATTCATTAACCCAGGAGATCAGCTCAAGGGGATTTGAATCCACCTGCTGCCGATGATGAACTCCACACAGCACCACAGGATGCACACTGCACTTCACTTCTGGAACCGCAGCAACTACGGACTGCACGGCAATGCCAGCGAGCCCCTGGGGAAAGGCTACTCCGATGGAGGTTGCTACGAACAACTTTTTGTCTCCCCGGAGGTGTTTGTGACTCTGGGTGTCATAAGTTTGTTGGAGAATACTCTGGTGATCGTGGCAATAGCCAAAAACAAGAATCTGCACTCACCCATGTACTTTTTCATCTGTAGTCTGGCTGTGGCAGATATGCTGGTGAGTGTTTCCAATGGATCAGAAACCATTGTCATCACCCTGTTAAACAATACAGACACAGACGTGCAGAGCTTCACAGTGAACATTGATAATGTCATTGACTCTGTGATCTGTAGCTCCTTGCTTGCGTCAATCTGCAGCCTGCTTTCCATTGCGGTGGACAGGTACTTTACTATATTTTACGCTCTCCAGTACCATAACATCATGACAGTTAAACGGGTTGGGATCATCATCAGTTGTATCTGGGCAGCTTGTACAGTCTCGGGCATTCTCTTCATCATTTACTCAGACAGCAGCGCTGTCATCATCTGCCTCATCACCATGTTCTTCACCATGCTGGCTCTCATGGCCTCTCTCTATGTCCACATGTTCCTGATGGCTAGGCTGCACATTAAGAGGATTGCTGTCCTTCCGGGCACTGGTACCATTCGCCAAGGTGCTAACATGAAGGGTGCAATCACTTTGACCATACTGATTGGGGTTTTTGTTGTCTGCTGGGCCCCGTTCTTTCTCCACTTAATATTCTACATCTCTTGTCCCCAGAATCCATACTGTGTGTGCTTCATGTCTCACTTTAACTTGTATCTCATACTGATCATGTGTAACTCCATCATTGATCCTCTCATTTATGCACTTCGGAGTCAAGAACTGAGGAACACCTTCAAAGAGTTCATCTGTTGCTACCCCCTGGGAGGCCTCTGTGATTTGTCTAGCAGATATTAAGTGGAGTCAGAAAACACACTAAAACCCTGCAAAGGACTTTTTCATTCTTGTACAACCTGAGCAGTATACTTCAGCAATTTCTGTGTCTTTTGTGTAGTGCTTTAGCTGAAAATATCTATTGTATAAATTTAAATTTATGATTTTTGATATGAAAAATGTCCAGCCTCACTATTATTTAAATGTCATGCTACTTTTGGTCATGCATGTTAATGTGTATTACATGTTGCAGGTACTTTAGACTAATATAAACAAGACGCATCTTTATTAAAAGCCTAACAATGTCTCTCCTTGTTATTTATCAGACTTTGACACTTTGTTGTAGTAACACAGAAATCAAAGTTTCATTAAATATGTTATTATAAATGTTTTCATATATTATCCTATCCAACATTGAAATGTAGAAGTTGGAGTCTAATATGAAAGGAGAAATATTTTAAAGAATGTATACCTAATTATTAAAGAAATCAGTGTTACCAGTGAAATTTCAAGTAATTTAACAGAAGCTTGTCCTTCTTCCTGTGCAGAAGGAGAAATGAAGCTACTCTTGAAAGAAAACAGTTACTGAGAAATACTAAGTTATATTATGTATCAGAAAACTATTGTTTCTCAATGACAGAAAGATTTGTTTGCCCAAGCAGACAGCCTCATACTGCACACAGGGTGCGGGGAATGCAGCTCACAGAAACCAAAGTGTTCTGGAAAACCTAAAATGTCATGTCAAGCTGAACTTTCTAATAAAAAACTGTCCCCAGCCATGAGTAATAAAATAAAAATGAAGACTTTCTGCCACCTTTCACTAGGGACTTTGTGTGTGCTGAAATGCCCAGCAAAGTTGGTATTCCATTCAGAAGTCCAGCATTCGATCTCCAAAGAACTATATGATTGCTGAATTCTTTCACATTTCTTAGGGAGGTGACTTACTGTTTACCTATTATTTGTGTCTCAAACCAGGGAATAAGCACTGGCCATCAAAAATTTTAACTGATTGGACCAAATTTGTAGCATAAGTTTTTTCACGCAATATTTTTAAGTACTTAAATGAGGGTACCTGTGGTGCTAGTACACTATGAGCAGAAAATGAAGGCACTGACTGATTCCCATATGAAGTTATGAAACAAAGCAGGCTTCCACATTTACATCTTGGAGAATGAATACTTGTTTGGCTCCAAAATAATCCCACAGTTTTGGCCACAGCAACAAAATCTGTGCCTTCCAATCAGAGAGTGCTATAAAACAAAGAAGGATGCATGAAGGTGAAGATTAGCAGAAAGCTATCTTGTGATTGAATTCTTAGTGTTTTTATATGTATGTTCCTGAGGCATAGATCATATACAAAGGTACATCTTCCTTCTCATCTAAATGTTTTGCATATTTATTATAAAACCTGAGAAAAACTTAGCAACCATATGGAAACACTGTTTTAAAGCATAATGGCAAAGTCATGACAAGTGAAAAGTGATACCGAAGCAGAATTGTAATCCCACTGATTTTTCTGTTTTAATGCAAAAGTAAAGGTGAGTAGACTATTTGTCACACTCTTGTGACACTTGCAGCCTGCTATAGCTTGGATCTGGAGGCCGCAGAGGTTCACATGGTAAAGGTTTGTTCCACAGGATGACTCTATTGGGCAGTGGCAGAACTTTCAAGTGGTGGGGCTTCATGGGAATTCTGCATGTCATTGAAGATGTGCCCTTGAAAAGGATATGTGGATCCTGGCCTCTTCATCTTTCTCTCTGTTGCTTCCTAACTGTGAGGAGAGCTGTGAACTTTTGCTGTGATATGCTCCCTGGCCACTGACCCAAGGCACCAGAGTCTACTGATAATGGACTGAAATTCCTTAAACTATGAGACAAATATGTCTTTTTCACTTTATAAGTTAACCATCCAAATATTTTTTATAATGAGGGGAAGCTCCTAACGTATAGTAGGTACACAGATGGCATATTTGCTATGGTTACTATTGCTCGTCATTCTTTCATATAATAATTTTGAGAAATCACCGACATTAAAAATACTGAAAAAAGATCTGTAAGTGTGGCAAGTCTCCTGTCATGGCTGTCCTTCCAGTTCATTCTATTTCTCCATCATGTGTCATTTCAGAAGCTCAGTAGAAAGTCCCAAATTTCTTTACCTTAACACCTTCTTCTGCAACAGTTTATAGTGTACATTGGTTGTAAGCTACCACCAAACTCCCCTAGATATTCAGGGCATGATTTTGGGATTCAGTGTCTTTCACTGATGAGATTCTGACTCACCTATCTAGTTCTCCAAACCTGCCCCAGACATATAATTTTCTGTTACTCTAATAAAATATATATAAGCTCTCCCAGATGCAAAGACCTTAACTAATCCATCCCTAAACTTCATCTCACATCCAGCAAGAACTGGACCTTCTCCAGCTCTAACTTCATGTCTATTGTTTTAATGGGGTGATGTTTTGGTTGCAACTCGAGGTGAAA